TTATTTCAGTGTTACATAAATTATTTGCAAGTACTAGATAAAATGCTTTTTACATTAAATATTTTTAAATGCATACTATATCTAAATAAGACAAGGACAACTGATACTGTTTTGCACTTTCTTAAACACTATAATATGTATATTAATATTTTACAATATTCACCATACCTAATAACAATTTTGAAATAAATACAGTAAATATTGGAGCTGAACTTTTAATTGTCTCTGTAAAACTTACAGCTACATAATTTAAAGAAATAAGTCCTAAAAGTACAGTGATAAATCTGTAAGCAAAAAATTACAGTACAATTTGTGAACAAAAATTTACATATATATATAAAAATAATAAAATTACCTTGTACAACCAACTAAGCACATATGAATATAAAAGTTTGGCGGTCTTTTGGATCGCTGTGTTGGTTGTTTGTACATCCCACAAGGTAGATACAGCTGGATAAAACCACATATAGTTGTCATGATCATTTGAGATGCTCCTTAAATCACATCAAAACCAAAATTTGAACATTAACACACTCAACAATATGAGTGATAATTATATTTACCCAGTACTGTAGGATCTCCATTTAGATAGGAAAGGATATACTTGTTCAAAAATAATGTACATCCGCTGAAGAAATACCACAATACCAAGAATGCGATGGCCCTGAACGAGTGTAAGCCATCTTCCACTCGTTTCTCAGCAATGGTAACAGATTTTGGCAGCTGAGTCATAAATGTCCGCTTTATATCACATTAATACAAGAACAACAAAATTAAAACAAACTAAAACTAATAACTACATGGTAAGTAAGAAGATGTGTCGGTAAATATGAGTAGGTAAGGAAAGTGTCAATGAGTAAAATGTATTTAGGAAAATCTTTTTATCGAATAAGAGACACGTCACGAAAAAACGATACCTATTTCAAAAAATGTTTTTAGCTCATCGTTTTGAGTCTTATCTTATCATTCCTAACGATACTTATAATTATATGTTGTTTTGTATACAAACAAGAACATAGAACCGTAAATAGGTTCGAAACCGGTAAGTATGTTAGTATCAAGTTGAGTGTTAATTATTGATTACGAAAACGGTGATTTTCCATTGTCGAATAAATATAACCACAGAACAATATAAAATGTTTGATATAACGTAAGTATATTGAAGTTCATAATATATTTTAGTTGTTATTTGACATATTGAAATATGTGTGCCTCTGTGGTGTTAGCACTTGAGTTGTGATGGGTGTAGCGTTGCCAGACGTACAATAATTATCGTATTTGTACGATACTTATTGTTCATGTACGATGTACGATACATATAAAGAGATGGACTGCGCTTAGAGAGAGAGGTGTCAAGCCATCATTGTTAAAGAGAGAAAAATATATACTACAGGTTGGCAT